TGGACTCCTGTGGGAACCAGCTGCCTTGGACTGTTGGGGAATTGAAAATCCTAGCCCAGCCCTACAGTTACTATTGCACAGAGAAAGGTAAGGAACAATTTCCCAGACTCTGGAAGTGGGTTGGAAATTCATTAAGCCTAGGAGATATTTGCCTGTCTGACTATAAATAGCTGGATGATCCAGAGAAGGAATCCTTTTGTCCCTCCTCGTGAAAATGTTTAGCTGTAAAGGTCTGGAATAGAGTTGTCCAAAGGGTAGGGTGAGAAATTGAAAGTGTTGGTCTCCCCACAGCAAAACTTTGAAAGCATTGGTAGGAATTATGGGAATGTGAAGACCAGTATCTTGAAAAGTTCACAAATGTGAGAAATTCTCCTGATCTGACAGAAATGACGACAGGTCTTGTGGGTTCCATGCAAAATTTGGGAACATACAGATATTTGTCCATGGATTTTAAGTTCAATATGGGACAAATATGGTTTTGGGATCATAAAAGCACATTTTTTTTTTATAAGCAGGATCAGCAGAACAAGTCTTTAACCATAAAATTCTGCACATGCACAGAAAGTAGTGTTATCCTAGAAACCTGGCAAATTACATTATCCAGAGCATCAACGCATCAAGTAGTAGCACCAAAGGCATATGCTGCAATTGTTCCAGAAAACCAAGGTCCCGAAGGGCAGAATCATATTCTCTATTGATTTGTTTAGTCAGCTATAATCTGACAAATGGACATGGCTGTAATGGCCAGTTGCAAAGTAGGACCAGCAAGAGCAAAAGATCTCTTTATCAGATTTTTCAAAGTGCCTGACGACTGAATCCTTAACTACTTGCCAACCGCAGATGGCCGAATGACGGCTACACTGCGGCTGGCCAGTTCAGCGACAGTGCTGAAAGCTGAAAATTGGCCTGGTAAAGAAGGGGTTATAAGTGCCCGGTAGGGAAGTGGTTAAAGGAGGAAACATCTTCATAAACAGTGAGATGCTTTGTGAGAGCTGAGATGACAGGATTCACTACCAGGACAGACTTTCTCATAAATTTATTTCCCATAGGATATAACTCAGGAAGAGTTTGGGAGACAATACCTTGTCAGGATTTGACTAATCATCATGTAATGTACCGTTAACTTGTGTGTGCAGAGCAAAGGTCTTCAGATTGCACCAGCCGTTTAGTGTCCATAAGAGCTTTTTAGACAGAGGAGAGTCCAGTGCTGCTGGGCAAAAGTTAGTTGGCACCAAATGAATAAGGGAGCTCACTGTAGAAAACATGTCATGAAGCCCTAACTTTTATGTCATAAAATGCAGAAGGTAAACATTCCACTTCAGGATATTTTTCTGAATCCACCTCTCATTCCACGATATCTTCTTCAAAGAGGTTAGGAGAATCAGGATCATACACCTGCCATTATATCCTTTTTTTTCCAGCTCTGCTATACCTTGTTTCCATTGTTGCTACACGAGGGGATCCATTGCAGGGATCTCACAAAACGGATGCAGAAAAGGGTTTTTGCATGTCCAGGAAAGTAGCCACTATAATACAGACACTAACTGATGTCCTGCACCTGTGTCGCTAGAGAAGCAAGACATGCCTCTTGTGTTCTTGGGGAGGAGGGGAATGTGGCAGCTGTGAGGCATTGGTAACTATATCACCACCCGGCAATGTTGCATGAAGAAAAAAAAAAACCCACCAAATTTAACCACTTGCCTACAGGGCACTTATACCGCCTTCCTGCCCAGGCCAATTTCCAGCTTTCAGCGCTGTCACACTTTGAATAACAATTGCACGGTCATGCAACACTGTACCCATATGAAATTTTTATCATTTTTTTGAGACAGATAGAGCTTTCTTTTGGTGGTATTTAATCACCTCTGGGATTTTTATTTTTTCTTAAACAAACCAAAAACCACTGAAAATGTTTTTTCTTAGTTTTTGTTATACAATTTTGTAAATAAGTGATTTTTCTCCTTCACTGATGTGCGCTAATGAGGCTGCACTGATGGACACTGATAGGATGCACTGGTAGGTTGCACTGAAAGGCAGCACTGATATATGGCACTGATAGGCGACACTGACTGGCACTGATGGGTGACATTGAAAGGCAGCTCAGGTGTGCACTGATATGTGGCATTGATGTGGCACTGGCACGTGGCACGTGGCACTGATGGACACTGACAGGTGGCACTTCTGGGGCCACACTGATCATCAGTGCCCAGATGATCAGTGTACATGTCCCCTCCGTGGAAAGACTATTACTGGCTCTCCTCTCGAGCTGTCAGCGTGACAGCTTGAAAGGAGAGAAATGCCGATAACCGGCATTTCCGTGTTTACATGTGATCAGCTGTGATTGGACACAGCTGATCACATGACTGAGCCGACATCTTTGGCTCTTTCCGTGATCCGCTGTGTCCGAGGGACACAGCGCACCGGCGATCGCCGCGCATGCGCGGTGAGAATGGAAGGAAGTCATATGACGTCCTATCAGAACGAGAGAACCACCTTGCACCCATCATTGTACTATATGGCGGGCGGAAGGTGGTTAAAAATGTAAACTTCACCTTCCGCCAACGTAGACATTTTCAGATGGGGGAAAACACACTGAATGAAACGCCCCACGTGTAAGACAGGACACATTTACAAGTAAACTTGGTCTTACCTTACCCACACTGCAGGTTCCCCTAAAGGGGCCCAAACATCACCAGAGTCTTCAGGCTCTGAGTGCCATATTAATGGACCAGGGACCCAGACCTGTACAGCACACTGTGGCCAACTACACTCATTGCCCCACATGCCAACATGAGCATTGGACACAGGATCCAGTGCCTGAAGGAAACATTACAGGCTGGTCTTGCTGATGGGTCTGGATACAGTTTTGTAAGAAAACATCAAGAGTAACCAATCTAGAAACTGCCAATGAGCCCTTAGCAACAAGCATTTGGATCTTGATAGAAGTGTCAAATGAAGTAGTGAAGAAAATAAAAGAGGATAAAAGAAATAAAAGTTTCTTGTATGTAGAAACTTCTCCAGAGAAGAGGTCAGAGGACAACAGCAAAAAACTGGAGTCCCAATGCATGGATGAGGTTATAGGTGGGTGCACTGGGGGGGACATTCCAGGAAAGCTTCTGCCAGTGTCCCATCCCCTAAAAGGTATTGCCATACAACCCATTGTCTAGGACTACAGATACGGTGTCCTGCTATACTGTACAATTAAGATGAAACTTTTACATATTCAAATCCTCCTTTGGTTTTGTGGTTTCTTGAAAAATTGCTGTATGAATTTCATACCTCTCTAAACAGGGATGCTCAGGTTGAGACAATATTTTAATCTCTGGGAATCATTTATACAAACACAATTCATAGTGCATTGCTTTCGATAAACTCAGTTGTATTTAACCGAATTATGGATAATGATCGACAATTATTACACCCCGTTTGCGGACTCTTTTCAATGAGGTATGCAGCCAACCACCACCTTCTATCCTTCTGATTGTCTGCCTACAGTTATCTAAAAGAATATGGATGTTTTAGTTACTGTTGGAACACAGGCTTCTCCGTTTTTTACCCTCCATTGTATATGTATAGCCTTTTATTTCTCCTTTGCCCTGTGATTGTACAATTATGGCATTCCTCTTAGCCAAATGATGCAGCCTTACAAATGTTATGTATTTTTGCATAGTAAATAAAAAAAAAACCCAAAACCACACAATATGTGGTCGCTGTTGAGCGACTGTTACCTGTTAGGGGTAATACAAGATCTGTAGTAATTGCATACACAATATACATTTAGCTTTATACCAGCGATGCATGAAACCAACTCTTCCAAAGTCAGCCTCCTTTGCACACATACAGCCAAGACTCTGGGTGCCAAAGGTTACTCAAGACCTTCCCCTCTACCACACTTGGTTACTAGAACAACCAATTTATGAATTTAAGACTGTAATGCACATAGAAACTGCACAACATGTGTGAAGGAAAATTCATTTTGCACTAAACATATAAGTGAAAATGACGTTAGGAGGTTTATGATAGACTGTGGTATTTTATTAATCTTTTCTTCATGCCCTGTCTCCTAAGGGTGGGGTCTAAAACCTGCAGTCAAAGTATCCTCCTATAAACCAACAGCAAAAATTAAACATTTAGCTACACAGTCGCCATAAGAGGCTATAGGGGGAGATAGAGTGTCATAGCCTAGTTGTGTGATGGAGTATAAATAATTGTTAAATATCTTCTATTTGCGTAGGGGGTGTGTGTGTGTGCGTGCGTGCGTAACAACTTTTCTTTTTCTTTTTTTTTTTTAATGAAAACTATGTCATTTTGACATAGTAGCCCTTTAATGCAGGATTTGCCCACAGATATACAAACTTGCCTAAAGGCTGTTAAAGATGGACCATACTATCACTTACAAGCTGCTTGAGGATTATCTTCATTAGAATAAGGTAAAAAACAAAACAAGACAAAAACATTGAAACAATTAAAATTAGATTTATAAACTGTCCTTTATACATATTACTTTGTCAAAGGACAAAAACTTTATTTCAGAACATTTTCTTCTATCGCTCTGAATATAAAGCACTGGGTCCCCTTCTTGGTTCCTTTCCTTTGGCAATTAAAATAGTGTATCCATAGCCATCAAAAATAGTTGTTACAATTCCTCCTCCTGTATATACCTCTGTAACACAGAGAAATTGTAGGGGAAATAACGGCCCTCCACAGCAATGCCAGTCTTGATGCCAAAGGGTTGAAAAGTCATCGCTCAGGACCTCCTCAGTGCCTTGGCACATAGGTGGGCCACTGTGAAGCGTCACATGACTGTTAGATGATTGGTGTGCAGTTTATGGCAACAAAACCATCAAATTAAATTCCAAGATGATGAACTTATCAGTGAAAACAAAAAGAAGGACAGTGTCCAGAATCATCTTATTATACAAGTCCTCCACTGCAGATAATCTCCACTGTGACATCTAGCAATCTACGCTGTCTAGGTTTCGAATCTGAAAACTCTTTCTTCATACTGGTGACTCGTGTCCCAAGACATGATCCTCTAGAGCTCCCGGCTTCTTACTCTTGTTCCTAATATGTTTGTACTTGTCCACATAGCCTTTCACTAGGTTCACCACTTTGACTGGATTAATTTCTCCACTCTTGCTGTGGCAGATCTAGGAAAGAAGATAAATGCATTGATCAGTCTTCACCAATACAGTGGGGGTTACTTATAAACAGGTAATAAATACATGTTATTATAACGATGTAATATTGTTCTTATATTTCATGTAGAGAGAACTTTATGCTAAAACTGAATATGCGGCAAAAACTGGTTATGGTCAAGTAGTCAGACCCCACAGCGAAGAAGTCCAAAAAAACATGTTATTAAAAAGGAACTTAGAATGTTCTATTTTTTTAATATACATAAGTAGAAAAGCTATATTTCTTTAAATTTTTATTGAACTTTTTTTTTTAACAGGGAAACATTGTGTCATTCTGTTTTGAAAGGCCAACACTTCATGATTTCAAAAAGATTGTATTGTTACAGTGTTAACAAGAAGAGGAGGAAGGGGTGTATTTCAATTCAGCACAGCAGCTAAGAGCAGGAGACTTCACTGAGCACAAAGCTTGCAAACTGGCTGCAGATGAATATAAAGATAATATTTATAGCAATGTTTCGTATTTGCTTGATTAAAAGCCATAATCATTTTTAAATGTATAATACTTAATACAGAAAGAAAAAAAAGAAAAAAAAAAAAACCCAAACACACACACACACACTAGATTCCCATTAGATGCCCTTACATGTTACAAAAAGGAAGTGTTGACTGTTAGCCATAACTTGAAAAGAAAAACTGAGCATTATTAGTTTGCAAATGACCTCCAATTCTGAAATTACCAGGTAACAAAGGGGAAAAAAAAAAAAAAAAAAAGCAGCCAGTTAATCCAAGGACTGGTAAGTTTGAAGCATATTAAATATTTGTTTGTAGGTTTACAAACATTGTAAAGTGTCCATTTTTATCTTTGCACTGCAGTAGCAGATAGCAGGTGAACTGTGGTGCAATGCTATTCATTTTAAATGTCAGAGGTGTGAAAGAGAAGGAAGGGGGGGAGGTAAAGGATTAGGAGAAGGGTCCACGGTGAGCGAGGGAGGGGAGCAGAGAAGAAGAAACCGGGAGAGAAAAAGGGCAAGAAACACTACTGCTCACTCGCCTTCTGCCGCCTCCTGACCATAAGCATCTATCCAGGTACACCACACCTTGTCAAATTTCTTAGGACAGTTTTTACTGTAATATGTGATTTTGTAGAGGGGTAAAACTGAATCCACAGCCTTCCGCCACATAAGCACAGTGGGAGGTGTGGGCAGTTTCCATCATAATAAGATTTCACGTCTTGCATAAAATAGGGCATAGGTGAGAAAAAGCTTAGTATATCTATCCACTTCCATATCTTCCAAATGATTTAGTAATAGGAGTTTCAGGTCTGCTTGTATAGTAAGATCACAAACATCAGTAATTGTGTCAAGCACCGATTCCCAGTAAGGGTGGATAATAGGACAAGACCACATCATGTGCAGCTTTGGCACATCTCGTACACATAGAGCTCGCCTAGGGGTAGATACTGGCCGAGCGTTGAGGAGTATAATAGGCCCTGTGAAGAAATATCAATTATATGAACCTGTCTAGCAGAAATCATGGAGGGAACATAAGTAGTAGATACACAATCCTCCCAGTCCTCCTCAGTAAGCTCAGGATATCTGTATGCATGCAATTGAAAGTGCAGGTTGTCATGATCGCAAGATCGCCGCCACCAACATGCAACAATCTCACGATCGCTGCTAACAATATGTCACGCCCGTGGCGTCAGACCCCAGACCTGCTCACCAAACTCGTGACCAAAGAACCGGCCGATCTAAAACCGATAGGTGACGTGCGTAACGCCACACTCAGCTGCGCCCTGCACAACGATTGTCCAGCTAATGGTCTACAATCTGTGCCTGCAGTCTGAATGCGCTTGTTACTGGGTCGGGTTAATTACGCAACTAACCCTCTACTGCCACCACCCCTTTTTGTACAGAGAAAGGGGAAACGCTCCTTATCAATTAATACACTATAATGATTGAAATAATGGTCGGTATAACACGGTCCACAGGCCAGTTATACAGAGATTAAAACAAACAGTAGCGTCTCTTCAAAGGCAGGAATTCGTGAATTGCAAGTAAGCGCTTAGAAACAGTTTGACTCTTTTAGTAATAAATCTTTCTTTCTGAAAGTGTTAAATAGGTGCAATAAAATATTTACAAAGAAGATGTAACTGTAACTATAGATATATATATATATATATACACACACACATAGAAAACAGCACAGCACAGCAAAGAGATAACAGGGAGAAGTTAAAAGGTTAAGTTACTTGCCATGTTAAGCCTTGAGGTAGCAGATCCAAGTTGCAGAGCGAAAGGGTCTTTGATCTCCCGGGTGGTATATAGATGTTAAAATTGGGAGATGTGTTTAGCTTACTTTTTAGGCTTGCCAGTCTGTCTTTTAAAGTCCCCCAGCAGGGGAGGTGGCTCAGAGTAACTGGCCAATACCCTGTTTTGGGCGGGATCGTCGGATGGACTCTGCATTAAAACCAACAGCTTCATAATCCATGATATGAAACATAGGTGACAACTGGATCTTTTAAAAATGTTATCCGGTTTGTGCTTCTGGGGAATGCCTTGAACTCTTGAGAAGGCTCGGTTATCTTTTTCCCGAGGTGTGAAAACACAGGTTTTTGGGACAGAAAGTCTCTGACTCTATGGGGGGGCTTTGTAGACTGGGCCCCCTGCTGCTCTATCTGCCAGTGACTTTTAACACACACACACATCTGTCACTGTGCCTCTCAGGAAGGGAGGGGGGAGGAGAATAAAGGATTGAGGGAGAAATGTATGCTCTTATCAAAATGGATGTGCCTTGACAAAATGGTGGCACTGCGTCCATCTCTGAGCACAAGATTGCTACACAGGTCAACTTAGTATCCATGGGCTATAGACAAGCAGGGGTACATGGAAGACAGTGATTTTCCCATCACTTTAGATGTCAAAAGGCAGTCAATCGGGTCAGACTCCAGTTGGATAGACTCAGGGAATTGCACCCTGAGGGCATGTGGTAGTTACCAGCATCTAAACCTCATGCGGTTAGACAAAGAGAACGTGTTTTTAAGAGTGTGAAAGGGTATTATTTTCCCAGCATCTATTACATGTTTCAAAGTTGTTATCCCACGGAGGGCCCACAACTGCGGGTCAGGGAGAGAATAAAGATGAGGGAGCTGTGGATTCCCCCACAAAGGTAAATGAGGAGAGACCTTTATAGACTCCCTTATAGATGGCCTTGGCTTGAGCCCACAGCCATCTAATGACTTTCATAGGGCCAGTGACATTTGGATGGGCTTTAGGCCCTCGAAAAACAAGGCTTCGGAGAGTCGTATATGAGCCCAGTAGGGCCACCTTGAGGGTCACTGCAGGATTTGTTTGGGCTGGGAGAACCACCACGGCACCCGACACCACTGCCCAGCAGTATAAACAGAAGTCAGGCAAGGCTAAGCCTTTGAAAATTGAAGTGTGGGTAAAAAAAGGAGTGACATTCTTTTACAGATACTCAGCGATTGTTCCCCCTTCCCACCTGGATCCCCAGGTAGGTAAAGTCATCAACCCAACAGAGTGGCGTCTGCATATCTGAACAGGGAACAGAAGGATGAGGAAAAACTCTGACTGAGAAACACAGACCCTGCAGTTCTCCAGAAGTAGATTACTCGGATGAGGAGTCTTCACTGTCCCCATTTTATAATAAAGCTTACCTGTAGGTAAAATGAATATCTCCTTAACGTTCACAGTTTAGCAGATATTCCAGTGAACAGCAGCCAGTGAATTCACCGGTGTATGAGTTCTGAAGGAATGGCATACCCATGCCGTTTCTTCAGAGCTCTGTTCTGTGCACGGGGCTCTCATGCGCATGAGTGATGTCATTGCGGCTCTGCCAAACGGCCAGAGCCCATGAACCCATAGGAAGACCGGGTGAAGATAGAATCCCTGTCAGCATCCCTGTGGAGAAATCCGTTCTAAATGTAAATCTGACAATGTGCATATTAGCACATTATGGCTTAAACTTGCAGAGGGGACCCTTTTTTTATGTTAACTTTACTACCACTTTATGAGGAAGTGGGAACACTTCTGCTTGCAACCAAGGTGGTCCAAGCTGGCAAGTATCCTTTAAAGCTGCTTCTTAGCCCAGTCATAGCAGATGAATTCCTCCCTTGTCACAAAGAAACAGGAGGAAAGGTGCCCCAGAGGTAGCAAAGACACAAGATAGATAGGAGAAGCCAGAGACACGTGGAACACGCTGACCTCCAGTGGATATCTTGCACAGGGGGGATTCGCCCAGGGTCCTCCCTACCTGAAGGTGTTTGGAATTCCTCACCCTCTATATCCCCTCCTCTCCGTTGTCGATGACACATGGCCAGCTGACCCTTGCTGGGAACAGTGGTCTAAACTAGCCAAGAGGGCACTGAGCTAGTAAAAGCACCAGTGTACTGGTTACCCTAGGAGATTTTCCCTTAAATCTGCTAATGCCCTTCTCCCAAAGAAAAGTGACTTGTGGGCCAACAAGGAAGGCTGTGCTGCAACCTGAAGCACCACAAGGAAGGCTGTGTTGCAAATTGTAGTCCCACAATGGCATTGTCACTAGGGGAGGGTACCAGCAGGGACTACACCGGGGCAATTACCAGTCCGAGCTGCAGGACCCTCTAGGGGGTCCAGGCTTCACCTATCAAGGTGGGCTCTGCCACTAAGGGCTTCCGGAACTTGACTCCCCAGCTGGAGATCACTGCCGTGGATCTGTATATTACCCTACTGGTCCCCAAGGCCATATCATTGCGTAGGGTCCCAGTGCTGACCAGGCAAACTTAGAGGCTGCCTCTGCATATGAAGTGTGGGGTCTGGGTACCATTCCTCTAAGCACAGAAAAGCCATAGGTAATAGATCTGAGAAAAAAAAAGCCATCCTCCTAAGTTTAGATGAAATCGCTGAGAATCTATGTTTTCGTGCAGAGACTGCACAGACGAGACCATCACCTAAGACACCTAACAGGAAAGGGGTAGGCTAGGAGGGGATTTCCTATCTTTTTTACAAGTGTCCAATCACCTGAAGGTGGCATAACACTTTTGTAATGAAGAGGAAAATGTCCCTGTGTCCTGGGATATTTGATAATAGGAACGGACTTCTGACAGGCTGCATTGCCGTTTGTGACTCTACTAGAGAAATTTTCCCTTACTTCTTGTCCTAGAGCAGTGTTTCTCAATTCCAGTCCTCATGGACCCCCAACAGGTCATGTTTTCAGGATTTTCCTCAGATGAAACAGCTGTGGTAATTACTAAGGCAGTGAAACTGATCAAATCACCTGTGCAAAATAATGGAAATCCTGAAAACATGACCTGTTGGGGGTCCATGAAGACTAGAATTGAGAAACACTGTCCTAGAGAAACCAGCACTAAATAACAGGGGTCACCTGGATAGGGCAGTTGTCTTCATTGGAGTGGTGTGTTATATATCATTACAAACATCCAATAACATACAAGATCCAAGAGCTGAACACCAGGATTGGGGGGGGGGGGGGGGGGGCACTTGCACACAGCTGCTAAAGTCAACACTGTATCATTACAAACATCACCCACCTTCTGTACTGCTTTGCGCAGGATCTCTTTGTATTCTTCCTTTGTGATTTCCCTCTTCTGATAAAATGGTTTGATGGCCAGCTTGACCTCTTCCACTGCTCGTTCCTGTATATGAAGTTTCTTCATGTACTTAAAAAAAAAATGATTCAGAAAATGTGAGGAAAGATGGAAGTTGGCACCATGCAACACACTATCTGGCTTCCTCAGTGTTCTCATTCTCTGAGCCATGTATTCTCTCTTAAATGGTTATTTCCCCTGCGCTAAGTTTTTTTTTTTGTAGAAAAACTGACATGGGGGTCTCAGGTACTTGTTTACAAAAGGAGATAGCAATTTGTTACTCTATGTAGTCTGCAGAGCTATATTTGTCGTTGTATGGCATATACAAAAATAGAGATCAACAAAAAGAGAACATGGTAACTGTTTCATGAGCTATAGGACGTCTTACGGCTCTTCCTGATAGCCCATTTGCCCCATTGCCATTGATGAATTTTGCCACAAATCGCAAGACATGGAAAAAAGGAAGAGCAGCACAGTTTGACTTTTGTGGCTTCATGCTACCTCTAACACCACTGCAACAACCATTTAATGCTGAAATCTGTTACGAGGGCTATGCAGTGTGGCTTGCCAAGCACTGTATTGCTTTCCGTTTAAATAGGAGCTCAAGGAAACAAGACTTGAACCTGCTAGGTTATGGATAATTTTGGAGAAGGTGTATGGCACCGCCTGGATTGCGGCTTGTTATTCAATATTTACACTAGAACAACTAACTGAGCACTTCCAGCACTCTGACCGCAGACTTGCAGGACAGAGAGACAAAACGACAGGAGAACTTGCTGTGTAGGATAGCCACGAGTCTCCTGTCAGAGTGTTGCATATAACCACAAGTCCCCTGTCTGAGTACCAGTAGTATAGCAAAAGCTGAACTATCAACTCTTAAAAATTTAATGGGAAAATAAGAGGCAGCAATCCAGGAGGGGCATACCCTCCTGAGATTCAAAGTGGTTCTAAAAATCGAAGGTTTTTTTTTTTTTTTTATACCTTAAGGAATTCCCTGCATTTAGGTAAAAACCTTCTGAGTGCAGCTCCCTCCCCATATTTAGCTAGGCCTAATCTTGATCCAGCGCTGTACACAAGAGCAGAGGCTCTCTCCACTCTCTTCCTCCTTACAGGTTCAGACACAGCACCGGAAGCCATTGGCTCCCTCTGCTGTTAATTGCAGCCAGTGAAGAGGGAGCAGGGCTGAGCTGTGCTGTGTCAATGGACACACAGAGCCCGGCTCAGGAGCGAGCCCGAACTGGTGACCCCATTGCAATCGACTTGCTATGGGGCCACTCGCCAGCAAAAGCGGAGAGGTGCCAGGAGCACTGGGGGGGTCCTGGGAAGAGGAGGATCGGGGCTGCTCTGTGTATAGCCATTGCACAGAGCAGGTAAGCATTACATGTTTGATATTCTAAAAAAAAGACAAAAATTGTGGAGTTACAATCATTTTTTAACTATTTGAGACTCAAGATTTTTTTTCTTTTTCCCAGTTCTTCTTTAAAGTCAGCCTGTAAGCCAGTTGCATATGTGGCCTGAATTCCTCCTGAATGGAAAAGTCTATCCCATCCAGTCAACCCACCGGAAAGATTTCCACTGAAGTGAATTTACATGAGATTATAGAAGAAAGGCCACACTATGAAGATATCCACAGAGAAGCTTAATGATCGTTCTACTGCAATTAGCTTTGTCTAATAAGTACTGCTACTAAAAACTGGGACCTTGGCTTTAGCTAGCCCGGAATTTATACATACAAAGCACAAGTCCCAGGGGTGAGGTAGGAAGACATAAGGTACAAGGAAAATCCCAAGTACTTACAATGTTAAAAGGTACCTTCACCATTGGACACCTGTTAAATGAAAATGGAATGTGAAATATAAAAACCTGAGAAAAATGCACAAAATCTTACCTCTTCATTTTTACCCTTTTCTCCTTTTTTCAGTTTTGATTTTCCCTTCCCTTCACCTAGAGCAACAAAATAGCAAAATCATAAATCAAGCATTATTTTACACATATTTAAATAATCAAACAATGCACTCAACACTCAACCCACCCATGGTTGTCCTTAGAATCTGCAGGTTTGTAAAAAAAAAACAAAATAAAAACAAAAAAACACATTTCTCAAGACTAACAACATGGTCCAATATGTGCTTTCACGACAGTGTCAGGAATTTCATCTGAATCTTTCTCCAAACTTTTGACCTCTGGTACAAAGCAAATTTCTAAACAACAGTTGCTAAATATTCTGTAATACTGTCTGACTGCTCAAATGTAGTAAAGGGAAGCACATTTCATGACAGATTATCACTACCTACTGACAGGAATCAACTGCTCAAGGACCAGTGTACTAGTTCATAACTTTTATTTTAGTTATTAAAATGTCAATATACTAATTTATGTGCTTATAATATGTTATCAGTGTTAGGTCTTACCAAACACTGATATTTTACCTGTGCTTGCTGCTTGCATTTTCGGCTCATTGGTTATAGCCAGACTTCCAGCCTTTGGGGTTTGGCTGATGACTGCTCGGCTGCTCTGAACCAAACACGGCGCCGTGGGCTCACTTACAGGGGCATAGGGAGGAAAGATTGGTGGGAGGGGTAATGGAGGCAAGGTTTGTGGGAATACCTGTGTGAGAAAGGACAGCAATATTAGCAAAACTTCAAGCAACAGGTTTGTACAGATTAGGACACAGCAATGCTGAGAAAACAAAGATAATAAAATGAGTCTTTTAGCATTGCCTAGAAGTTCACTGCACTATGTTACCGGTCTGTTTTCATACAGAACACATTTAAAAGAGGGTTCTGTCTGAATGCTCCTTGTCAGATGCACAGAAACAGCATTTATAAATGTATACAAGTTGGCTACACTATAGATGCATGTAGAGAGATGCTCTGCATTGAGGAATGTACAAGCCTGTGCACATTACGGGCTCCTCATTTTAAAGAAATATGATACTTTCGACTGACGTATTAAGATGTGAAGTGTTTTCACAGGCGAAATAACATGCAGCACAGTACAGTCTTCCTAGAACTGAAGCTATGTACAGTATCTCACAGAAGTGAGTACACCCCCCATTTGTGTAAATATTTTTATTATATCTTTTCATGTGACAACACTGAATAAATGACTTTGCTACAATGTAAAGTAGTGAGTGTACAGCTTGTATAACAGTGTAAATTTGCTGTCCCCTCAAAATAATTCAACACACAGCCATTAATGTCTAAACCGCTGGCAACAAAAGTGAGTACACCCCTAAGTGAAAATGTCCAAATTGGGCCCAATTAGCCATTTTCCCTCCCTGGTGTCATGTGACACATTAAGTGTTACAAGGTCTCAGGAGTGAATGGGGAACAGGTGTGTTAAATTTGGTGTTAATCGCTCTCACTCTCATACTGGTTGCCGGAAGTTCAACATGGCACCTCATGGCAAAGAACTCTCTGAGGAACTGCAAAAAATAATTGTGGCTCTACATAAAGATGGCCTAAGCTATAAGAAGATTGCCAAGACCCTGAAATTGAGCTGCAGCACGGTGGCCAAGACCATACAGTGGTTTAACAGGACAGGTTCCACCCAGAACAGGCCTCGCCCATGGTCGACCAAAAATGTTGAGTGCATATGCTCAGCGTCATATCCAGAGGATGTCTTTGGGAAACAGACATACAGTTGTGACCAAAATTATTCAACCCCCACTGAAATTGAGTGTTTTGGCCAGTTTGACATTGCTTTTGATCATTCAGTCATCTTGCTTACATTTACATTAAAGAGGCACTTGTAGGTCAGACAAATATAACATAACAGTTATAATGAAATAACCACAAATGTCTTTTCTGTGCTCACAGCATTATCAGTTTTATTCAACCCCCAAGTGACATTCAATCTTAGTACTTAGTACAGCATCCTTTTACAGTTATAACAGCTTTTAAACGTGAAGCATAGCTTGACACAAGTGTCTTGCAGCGATCTACGGGTATCTTCGCCCATTCTTCATGGGCAAAGGCCTCCAGTTCAGTCACATTCTTAGGCTTGCGCACTGCAACTGCTTTCTTTAAGTCCCACCAGAGGTTCTCAATCGGATTTAAGTCTGGTGACTGCGATGGCCACTCCAAAATGTTCCAGCCTTTCCTCTGCAACCATGCTCTAGTGGACTTGGAGGTATGCTTGGGATCATTGTCCTGTTGAAAGGTCCAACGTCTCCCAAGCCTCAGGTGTGTGACGGACTGCATCACGTTTCCATCCAATATCTCCTGGTACTGAAGAGAATTCATGGTACCTTGCACACGCTGAAGCTTCCCTGTACCTGCAGAAGCAAAACAGCCCCAAAGCATGATTGACCCTCCACCATGCTTCACAGTAGGCAAGGTGTTCTTTTCATCATAGGCCTTGTTCTTCCTCCTCCAAACATAGCGTTGATCCATGGGCCCAAACAGTTCTAATTTTGTTTCATCAGTCCACAGAACACTATCCCACAACTTTTGTGGTTTGTCCACATGGCTTTTGGCATACTGCAGTCGACTTTCTTATTCTTTGGAGACAGCAAGGGGGTACGCCTGGGAGTTCTGGCACGGAGGCCTTCATTACGCAGTGTGCGTCTTATTGTCTGGGCTGAAACTTCTGTACCCACATCTGACAAATCTTTTCTCAGTTCCTCAGCAGTCACACGGGGACTTCTCTCCACTCTACGCTTCAGGTAGCGCACAGCAGTCGAAGTCAGCATCTTCTTTCTGCCACGACCAGGTAGCGTTTCAACAGTGCCCTTTGCCTTGAATTTGCGAATGATGCTTCCTAAGGTGTCTCTTGGTATGTTTAACATCTTTGCAATCTTCTTATAGCCATTGCCCTTCCTGTGAAGAGAAATCACCTCTTCTCTTGTCTTCCTGGACCATTCTCTTGCCTTCACCATGTTTGTAACCACACCAGTAAATGTCTAGAAGGAGCTGAGTATCACAGTCATTTTAAAGCTGCCTAATTGGTGCTTATTATGCTTGATTGCTGCTCGGTGACATCCACAGGTGTTTTCAATACCTGATGGAAAGCACCTGTATGAACCTCTGTTCTTCAGAGTGGTAGTCTTTAAGGGGTTGAATAATTGTGGCAATGAAGAAACCACATAAGAACCATTTACTACTGTATTACATAAACAATTGATGTCATTTTAGTTGCATTTGGGTAGTTACAACGTCCTTGTAGGATTTGATTCTGAATACAATTCCAAATGTACACTATAGTCCCTAAACCCCTTTACAGCATTGGGGGTTGAATAATTTTGGTCACAACTGTATGAGTACTGCCAGCGTTGCTGCAGAGGTTGAAGGGGTTGAAGGGGTGGGGGGGTCAGCCTGTCAGTGCTCAGACCATACGCCGCACACTGCATCAAATTGGTCTGCATGGCTGTCATCCCAGAAGGAAGTCTCTTCTAAAGATGATGCACAAGAAAGCCCGCAAACAGTTTGCTGAAGACAAGCAGACTAAGAAAATGGATTACTGGAACCATGTCCTGTGGTCTGATGAGACCAAGATAAACTTATTTGGTTCAGACGGTGTAAAGCATGTGTGGCGGCAACCAGGTGAGGAGAACAAAGACAAGTGTGTCTTGCCTACAGTCAAGCATGGTGGTTGGAGTGCCATGGTCTGGGGCTGCATGAGTGCTGCCGGCACTGAGGAGCTTCAGTTCATTGAGGGAACCATGAATGCCAACATGTACTGTGACATACTGAAGCAGTGCATAATCCCCTCCCTTCGGAGACTGAGCCGCAGGGCAGTATTCCAACATATCGACCCCAAACACACCTCCAAGACGACCACTGCTATGCTAAAGAAGCTGAGGGTAAAGGTGATGGACTGGCCAAGCATGTCTCCAGACCTAAACCCTACTGAGCATCTGTGGGGCATCCTCTAACGGAAGGTGGAGGCGCGCAAGATCTCTGACATCCACCAGCTCTATGATGTCATCATGGAAGAGGACTCCAGTGGCAACCTGTGAAGCTCTGGCGAACTCCATGCCCACGAGGGTTAAGGCAGTGCTGGAAAATAATGCTGGCCACACAAAATATTGATACTTTGGGCCCAATTTGGACATTTTCACTTAGGAGTGTACTTACTTTTGTTGCCAGCGGTTTAGACATTAATGGGTGTTGAGTTATTTTGAGGGGACAGCAAATTTTTACTGTTATACAATCTGTACACTCAGTTTACATTGTAGCAAAGTTTCATTTCTTTCTTCAGTGTTGTCACATGAAAAGATAGATTAAAATATTTACAAAAATGTGAGGGGTGGACTCACTTCTGTGACATACTGTGTATGTCACATTCCGTAGCATATTCCAAAAACAAGAGAATTATTCCTTATTTCGGGACCATGGGCAGAGATATGCAAGTCAGCTAGTTACGTACCATGGCTAACTGTACATCCAGAACCACTGGTTTATAGAAAAGATACAAAGTTAAAATTATAGATCTATTTATTTTGAACTGCAGCTTCTTAGGCTTATTGACAATCATCAGTGCAGTATATGGAAAACATGATTCTTGGGTAGAGGAAGGTTCTGGGGTATGCGTTCTTGCAGGAAATCATGACGTCTCAGTTTAGTCCTCACAGATCTATTCTGTGCTACACATCACATAAGTACCAGGGGTTGCAGTAGGCCTGCACACAGGTCACATTCTAGCCTCTTGACAGTTATTCGTTGCTAGGAAAGGTTCTGGTGCATAACTACTTGGATCTCTATGTTTTCTTTGCATGGACCCTTCATCAACCTGTGCCTATCAGAGCACCTTAAATAGGCTGAGGTAAGATCTCAGATATTCATCAACTCTGTGAATGTTAAGTTAGGGGCTGCATGTCAGGATACTGCTCACAAGCTGGTAAACTGAAACAAGCTCATTATGTTCTAGAGAACCAACTTATACAAGCAGTAATCTTGTATGAAAACTAAGGAGTGTAGGTTTAAAATCAGTCTATGTATGGGCACCTGCAGGGGTGTATCTGTTGCAATCCAAGGGACTTGACTGCCATCTTTCGCAGGTCTGTCTGGAGCTTGTGCAGTGTGCCTGTCCATCATATGGACCACAGGCTTGTCCTCCAGCTTATTCACAATGTGTGTTGGGGATTTGTTGCCAGCATCCCATGAAGCCTGAGTTAAGGATTCTTGGCCGGAGTCTTGTGTGGTTTTGTCTGGTAGTGTCCAGGCAACTGAAGTGGATGTCTCACTAGTGGGGTCAGGTTCATAATTGGATACTTTATCATCAGTATGCTTCTCTGGGGATGACCAAGATTCATCCTGCTGAGTGTTGTAGAAGGGGGAAGCTTTAAGAAAGAAAAAAAATAAAGGACAAGTTATCAAAAACTGATATAATAGCTAATGGCATAATAAATACAATTACAATAAAAAAATATACAAAGACAATAATAATGAAATGCCACTTCTGAATTTATTGCTGGACTCTATGATTAATCAGGCAAGCCATCTGTGGCAAAACAAGCATTTTAATGTACAACAATGCATGATTACACAATGCATGTGTGCTTCATGCTGCCAACTATTCTTAATGTGACACTAAAGTCTTGTTATTTTTAAAAAAAAAAAACACAAACATGTCATACTTAGCTGCTCGGATCCTCCTATTCCCTAGTCCCCTGCCGGCACTATTGGCCCCTCCCCCCTGTCGGCTGCCCCCACAGCAAGCAGCTTGCTATGGAGGTACCTAAACAGGCGAGCTCCCGAGCTGCAGCACTACGTATCCATTCACTCACAGAGCCACGGTTCATCCCCACCCCTCCCGATTGGATTACTGGCTGTGATTAACAGCAGTGGAAGCCTATGGCTCCCGTTGTTGCTTCAGTCAGTCAGAATTGAGAGTCCCCAGAGAACCGAGGCTCTTGTGGACATCGCTGGATCGGGACGAGTGTTAGGGGGGGCTGCTAGACACAGGTTTTTTACCTTCATGCATAGAATGCATGAAAGTAAACCCCCCTCAGCCTTTAGAACCACTTTAAAGCAGATCTTACATGGAAGGTACACTTAACTGACAGCCACCACCCCGGAAATACATATAGTTTAAAACTAATCTACTGTTGCTTACAGCCAAGGAAGCCACCATCTTAGACTCTTGTTTGGGGATAAGTTGCTATGGTACTAAACGTGATCAATTAGGACACTGGCCATTTGATGGCTAGACAGTTTGGTTGAGAACACAAGCAACTGTGACAATTATTCCCAAAATGCCTTAATGTAACCATTTTGGAAAACCATTAAATCATTGGGTATAGTTCTGCTTTAACTGCTTCCCCTCCACCCTCTAGCAGTAATGCTAGAGGGTGGCAAGGCTGCGCAAAATCACGTATATATACACACGCTATTTGCATTTCCGGGTAGGGGGCGTGCACGCCGCCCTACCCGCACCGCCATTGGTGGCTACAAAAGTTAATCACCAGGTCCCGGCTGGAGATTCCCTACGGCACCTGGCGATCGCTGAGTAACACTGACAGTGGGGAGACCTGTGTGTAAATAACACAGGTCTCTCTCCTGCCAGCAATAACATGCTGCTGTGTATTTCTCTGCACAGCAGAGAAATACACAGCAGCATGTTTCCCTAGTAAAAAAACACACAGCACATTATGTAAAACAGCATACAGTTAGCCCTTTGATCGCCCCAGATGTTAACCCCTTCCTGGCCATTGTCATTAGTACAGTGTCAGTGCTTTTTTATTAGCACTGATCACTATATTAGTGTCATTGGGATGTCAGTGGCAGTTAGTCAGTTCCCACCCAGTGTCAGAATGTCTGCCGCAGTCCTGCTATACGTTGCTGATCGCCGCCATTGCTAATATAAATGAAAATATATACATAAAAATTCCAGTATATACACAGCCATTTGTAGACGCTGAGTTTCACGTAAGCCAATTAATTTACACGTATTGGGATTTTTTTTCAGCAAAGACATGTAGCAGAATACATTTTGGCCTAAGTTTGACTAAACTAGATTTTTAAAAAATTTTTACTGGATATGTTTTATAGCAAAAAAGTCAAATATATATATATTTTTTCATTTATGTACAGCGTTGTATGACCGCTCAATTGTCATTGTCATAAAGTAACAGCGCCGTATCGCAAAAAATGGCCTGGTCAGGAAGGTTGGGGGAGGTAAACCCTCGGGAGGGCAAGTGGTTAAAAGGGGCTATCAAAAAAAAGTCTCACAAGAATGCAGCACACTGCTGAATTGCATTCTCACAGGATTGTTATGTTTAGAAGTAATCTTAAGGCGCATTTTTTTTTTAGCAGCAATATGTATCTGGGGTGGGGGCATCACTTTGTGCCCCAAATGCACAGATACAGTAAAAACAAATATATATGCACTACAGCGCACCAGAAAATTAAGATGTGGGTGTTCTGCTTGCACTTTATAGTGTGCCGCCAAAAATGACACAATAAGACAAATGTTTGTTTAAAAATGCACAGGCTTAAATAAAAGATACCTAAAATTATAGCTAGTCTTTAAGGGGATATTATAAGGAGAAATGTCTACTCAGTAATCAATCACAAACCAATGAGACCAATTGCATTAACCACTTTTCTGACAGGGCAATTTATAAAATCTTACACACAAGGTAAAATCTGCATTTGGTAGAAAACTGAATCCCCAAACAAATATTTTCTGAAAGCAGGGGCCCTGTAGAATAAAATGGTGGCTGTTGCAATTTTCTATGTCCCACAACATTTGCAAAACTGTTGATCAAATGCATATGTTCCTGAAGAAAAAAAAGCACTAAAAATGAATTTTAGTGCTCTCAAGTACTATATAATACCAAATGTTTGGGCAAAATCGCAATTTAGTAAAATATAAAAGATGGGGTTGCAAGTAAATAGACATCAAACACAATCAAGTGGTGCTCCACTCAAAAGGGGAAGTGCCACTTGTTTGTGTCCCCCCCCCCTCCACTGCCACATTTAGCACCCCTCCTTACCCCCACAGATTTCTGGGATGATTCACGGGTCCCAGAAGACTACATTACCAATCACAAGGCACAGTGTGACTAGCGCATGCGCAATAGGAACGAGGCTGAAGCCGCAAGGCTTCACTTCCGGTTTCCCTTACTTGCAATGCCGGCACCGGGAACCCGGAGGCTAGTGATTAACTAGCCCGGGTGACGGCGGTGCTGGACCCCAGGGACAGGCAAGTGTTCTTATATTAAAAGTCAACAGCTACAGTATTTGCAGCTGTTGACTTAATTTTTTGGGGGGGGAGCCTGGAACTCCTCTAAGGCCCTACAATTATTGCTCTCCTTCCAACGCTTGCGATGATACCTCACGTGTGATGCAGTCACTGTTTAAATACCTCTGCAACTATGGATATTTTCTGAAAGCAGAAAACCTTTTACATTCTGTATGCCAAGTGCTCATCTTCTCTTACTATATTCTGCTATACAATGAACATAAATATTTAGCTGATCATTCCTAGCAGTGTCAGGCTAATTCAATAAGGCAATGCAAAGGGCAATGAGTAGATACAAAGTAATTAAAAGCAAGGACACAGAAACCATCTTTCATTCCAGTAAGGTGAAGTCTAGCTTGCCTCTTATCAGATACTACACTTTGCACATCCATGCATTGCCTTAGAGTGGAAGCAGATTTGTTCTTTCTTCTAGAAATAAAACACATCAGATGCGTCCACTGTGCATCTTGTAAAAAAGACCAGAATCTTACACAGAGATTGGTCTGGGGTTTCCTTCTCAGACGCTTTGTCCTGAAGGTTCCAGGTGACTCTCTTTATCTGAGGTTTGGATTTAGAGGTGGAAGTGGGTTCTTTTTCTTTAAGCTCATCAGACTTGCTTTCTTCAGAAGCCTTACTTTTTGATGTCTTTTCATTAATGTGATTTCCAGTCTCTGTTTCCACCGAATTTTCATCATCTTGAAGAAATGGAATGACTGATGTTTTGGAGAAGTTAATTACAGTCGGCTCCTAGAATATGAAAATAAAGTCTGTCAATAAATTTGCCTTACAGTTCATGTCCATGCTTTTATTAAAAGTGCTGCATAAGTAGTACAAAAAGGTTTGTTTAGCAATTTTCTTTCCTATTCTATACATATTACATTTGTTCACACACTACCCAAACATATACACTGACAGGATTTATACAAATCATTTTAGAATTCCGGTCAAAACCCTAAAAATGCACCCTTCCACTCCTAACATCAATTCTGATTAGCCTGTGTAAGAAATACTCTGATACAGTGATTGGCTCTCCAGCTGCAGGGGAAAGAAGGGAGTGCCGATAACTGATGTGCCATAGGAAGCCTATAGGTGATGTCACAGCTCTTAGGCATTGCCAGTCATTGTCGAGTGCTCTCTCCATTCTGCTGCAGCCACCACTGATTGACACAAGGGAGATCATGTGACCAGACTGGAAGAGCCTGAAAATAGGTAAGTATACAGATCTTTTCCTACACAGGTTAGTCAGAATAGGTGTTAGGAGGAGAAAGGAGCATTTTTAAGAGTAGTTAGTATTTTGACCGGAATTCTACTTCAATACAGATCTGATATATACACATTTGAACTCTTATTTGACTAAATATTAAAGTATAACTATAGGCAAAACTTTATTTTTTAGTTTTGGACAGAGTGGAAATGGATTAGTTTTTATTGCAGTCTGTGACCCTGCTAAGGAGATCACCCTATTTGCCCTGTTTACCATTATCATTGAAATTTACTTTATTTAGTTTATTTCTGTGGACTGCAAAAACACCTCTCCTCATGTCATGGAGAAAAGGAGGGGGATTCTATAGTCCTATTCTAAGGTGACAATGCCGCTACCTTCATAGCTTCAGTACAAAGAGTGAACTTTATTATCCTCGGACAGGAAATGTTTTTACTGGCAGGATCACCAGGTAAAAATAAAGGTTAAAAAAAACATGAAAAAAAAGAAAGCTATTGGAACCACCCCATCTAATGAATGGTGAGTGGCAATTACAGCGTCCTGTGAAAGTGTTCACCCTTCTGGTTGCTTTTCCTGTTTTGTTGCATTACTACCTGGAATTATTATTTACAGTGCTCAGCATAAATGAGTACACCCCAACAGATTTGTCAGAGAACCATTACTTTCCTTTTAGAATCAACATTTTCTATGGGACACTATAATACAAAATACTCCCACAAGTGCAGGCCATTGATTGCAAAACAAGATTTGTTCATTTGCACACACAAAAAAATATTTTTTCTAACAAATTAATTCAAGACCATATTGCAAAAATGAATACACCACAATGAGTCTTAGAAGCAAAGCTAAATTTTAGACAACAAAATCCTAATGAACAAGAATTCAATTATAGGTGAGTCTAATCATTCATTAACCACTTGCCTACCAGGCACTTCTACCCCCTTCTTACACAGGCCAATTTCCAGCTTTCAGTGCTGTCGCACTTTGAATGACAATTGTGTGCTCATGCAACACTGTACCCAATCAAACTTTTTATCAGTTATTGGAGACAGAAAGAGCGTTCTTTTGGTGGCATTTAATCATCACTGGGGGTTTTTAATTTTTTGCTAAACTAGAAAAATTTTGAAAAAGAAAAAAAAAAAAAAAGTTTTCTTAGTTTCTGTTATAAAATTTTGTAAATAAGTAATTTTTCTCCTTTACTGATGTGTGCTAATGAGGCTGCAGTGATGGGCACTGATAGGTGGCACTGATGGGCATTGACAGGCATCACTGAAAGGCAGCATTCCTATATAGCACTGATTGAAACTGTTAAGCGGTACTGACGGGCACTGACAGGTGGCAATGTTGGGGCTACACTGATCATCAGGACACTAATCATTAGTGCCCTGATGATCAGTGTAGATGTCCTCTCTGAAGAATGCCGATTACCGGCTCTCCTCACGAGCTGTCAGCGGGAGGAGAGGACTGCCGATAACCGGCATTTCCTGTTTACATGTGATCCGCTGTGATTGGACACAGCTGCTCACATGACAGAGCTGACGTTGTCAGCTCTTTACAGTGATCTGTTGTGTCCCAGGGACACAGCACACCACCGATCACCGAGTGCCTGCAAGGGTGAGCATGCTCAGAGTGGGAGGACGTCATAAGACATCCTTCCAAAACTAGTGAACCGCTGCCCGCCCGTCAGTACCTTATACGGCAAGCGGGAGGCGGTTCAATAGGTGTCCAGGACACAGTTGATTATAAAAGGCGTTAAAGAAAACCCCTTCACATTTTATGCTGTCAGAAATGGCACCACATGGAAGAGAAATGTCACAAGGCCTGAGAAAGAAAATAATTTCTTTACACAAGAAAGGTGAAGGCTACAAGATGATCAGAAAAACTTTACTTATCAATCAGAATACTGTAGACAGAACTGCAACCATCTCATAGAGACATCCAGGCCATACACGGACGTTAACACCTCGACAGGAGTGTCTTTTGATGAGAAGGGTTGAAGAAAATCGCCATGCAAGTTCACTGCAGTTAGCTAAAGTAGAAAGCCAAACTGGGGGGGTGATTTTTTTTCCCCGTGATGGTGTACACTGCAGAGGAATGGCATGCATGGGAGTCATTAACAAAGGAAGCCTTTCCTAAAGACCATGCATAAAAAAAGCCCACTTAGAAATTGCCAGGGCCCATGCTGAAAAAGACAACTACTACTCTGTACTCTGGAGTGATGAGACAAAGATAAATGTTTTTGGAACTGACGGCTTGAAAACTATATGGTGTTGCAAAGGTGAGGAGTACAAAGAAAATGCTTGGTGCCTACATTGAAACATGGTGGTGGCAATGAACTTCTGGGGGGGCTGCATGAATGCTTCTGGTGTCGGGGAGCTGTATTTCATTGATGGTATCATGAATTCACAGATATACTGCTCTACCTTGTAAAAGACGATGCTACCATCACTCCGTGTTCTTGCTCGTCCTGAACTTTTTCAACATGACAATGATCCAAAACACACATCTAAGGCCACTGTTGCATTTCTGAAGAACATACTGAAAGTGATTCGGTGGCCAAGTTTATCTCCTGATCTGAACCCAATCGAACACCTCTGGGGAATTCTGAAGAGACAAGTTGAGCATCAATCTCCATACAGCATCCAGGCTCTAAAAGAGGTCGTTCTTGAATGGAAAAAGATAGATGTTGCAATATGTCACCAACTGGTTCATTCCATGCCTAGAATTCTTGGTGCTGTCCTTACAAATCATGGAGGTCATACAATACACTAGATGTTGTAGTTTTGTTGTGGGGTATATTCATTTTTGCATCAACTAATTTGAGTAAAATTGAAGATTTTGTATTCAAAGTTATATTAATTAACCTTACTTTTATGTAATGAGCTAAATAAAATGTTCTATAAGACTCCGTTTTGTCAAAATTTTGGAAGTTGTTCTGGTGTTTTTGAGATATTGATTAAAATCTTACTTTTCAAAAGGGTGTACTCATTTATGCTGAGTACTGTCTTACAGGTACTTATAGAGTGCCGTCAATTTATGCAGCTCTTTTACATATACAGCAATACCTCGGTTTACGAATTTAATTAGTTCTGCAGGACTTTTCGTATAGTGAAAAATTCGTAAACAGAAACACGGTTTCCCATAGGAATGCACTGAAAACTAATCAATCCGTTCCAGTGGTCAGAAAAAAGTAAAAGCTACTAAAATATTGCATGAGTTATTTTATTAAGTCATGCGGTATTTTAGTAGTGACAACCATGTGTTAATGTTTCAGCTGTCAGCGGGGTTCCAAACTGACAGCTAAATGTACAAGAATTGCTGGCAATTAAAAAAATAATAAAAAAAAAACGGCGTTGGGACCCCCTGCCATCCTTACCAAGCCCTTCAGGTTTGGTATGGATTTTAAGGGGACCTCCCACGCCAAAATTAAAAAAAAAAAAAAAAAAAAAAAAAAAAAAAAAAAAAAAAATGGCGTGGGGGTCCTCCCCCCAAAAAAATCCATACCAGACTCTTACCCGAGCATCCCAAAGCACCTTTTCCCCATGTTGATAGGGACAAGGGCCTCTTCCCCACAACCCATGGCCGGTGGTTGTGGGGGTCTGTGTGTAGGGGGCTTATCGGAATCTGGATGCCCCCTTTATCAATCAAGATGCCCGCCGCTGACCTGAAAAAGAATAAAAATAAAAAGCTCCACTTCCGAATATGGCTTCCAGCCTTCTGCCTGCTCTGGTGGTTTGACAGTTCTTAAATATGTAAGGGGCAGGGCCACCCGGGGACATCACCCGATGACCCCACCCCACATGACATCATTAAGAATTTTTAAGAAATGTCAAGCCATCTCAGAGGCAGAGGGCTGGCAACCATCGTTGGGAGCGGATCCTTTTTTTTTTATTTCTTTTTTCGGGTCAGCGGCAGGCATCGTGATTGACATTGGATCTACTGCGGGGGGACATTCTCTTAGTTTTTTCTCAGACTTTTCAAACACAGTGTCCTGTATTTTTTCACACTACACTTTTTGTGAATGAGTAGCAGTACCATGTACCCCATATTCATTCACATGCACCCCTTGTTAAAGGGGGCTTTCAGATTCCTAAGTCCCCTGCCCGCAGACCCCCACAACCACCAGCTAGGGTTGTGGGGAAGAGGCCTTTGTCCCCATCAACATGGAGACAAGGTGCTTTGGGGGGGAGGAGGGAGAGCCCCGCCTGCCCCAAAGCACCCCCCCATGTTGAGGGCATGTGGCCTGGTATGGTTCAGGAGGGGCGGGGGGGCTCACTCGTCCACCCCCTCCCCCTTCCTGACCTGCCAGGCTGCATGCTTGGATAAGGATCTGCTATGGATTTGGAGGGGGCCCACGCCATTTTATTTTTAATTTCGGAGTGGGAGTTCCCCTCAAAATCCATAATAGACCCGAAAGGCTTGGTATGGATAGGAGGGGGGGACCCCACCGCATTTTTTTTTATTTATTATGGTGCTGGTTTTTAAATGTAATTACCGCTTTTTTTCCTTCATTATAGCTCAGAAA